AAGTGATGTCATTGTTCAGTAGTTCTCTGGCATCACCCCATTTAAAAAGAGGGTCATCCTTGAGCCATAGGATGCTAATGAAGTGATATATCAGCTTCCAAAGGAGAGCTTGTAAGAATTCCATACATGTTGTCAACCTTGTTTAAACACATTATTAATCTTGTTATTGCTCCTGGGCTGTCTCTATTCAGTAGTCTTGTCCCTATTTGGGATTTGATGACTAAGAAAAGAATATGCAGGACTTCTATGTTTTCAGGACAGTATTAAAAACTCCTGGGAGTTAATGGAAGTTTGTTGCTTGGATTTGTTTTTAACCTGTACAACTGACTTGCTAATTGCTGAAGGTAAATAAATTGAATCACTGGCAGGATTATTAATCAGTTGATTGTTAAGGGGAGGATGCTAAGGTCTATTGCTGTTTTAAAAATCCACTGCATCTGCTTCTCCACAGCCATGCACCTTGTGAAGCCATGAGTTTGCTCTCATTAGCTCCTGCAGATAACAGCTCCTAAAGAGCCACTCTATCAATGGCCTCCAGGCCTGTGCCATTCCTACCCCAGCTAAGGATTGGTGCAAAGGAACTTTGAGAAGGGCCCAGGATCTGTCCCTGCATCTGCACTGTATTTTCACTCCTCCTGTCCCTAGAACAAATTCATCCAAAGTGATCTAAAATGTCTGAGCACTACATCTGTGCTACCCCAAGTGTACTAGAAATCCAAAACTTAATCACGCAACAGTAATAGCTGAGAGTATTTAACCATGTAGATTTTGTGACCATTGCTGTTTATTCTGACTATAGAAAAATAGTTCCTATGAAATGGGTGGTGGTTGTGTTCTTGTGATAGAGTGTGTGTGTGTGTGTGTGTGTGTGTATGCATGCGGGCTCTTGGCGTGAGTGTGGTGGAGTGTGTGTCTTATGCATCTTCTTAAATCTATTGTTTTTTGAATCCAGTATTTCATAGTTCAGAGGGTTTTCCTGTAAATGATAAGGGTTGAACTAGCTCAATGCCAAGTTTGGTTACATTTAGTGTTTATATCAAAAAAACTCCCTGCTAGATGTTCCCAAAATCCTCAGGCCAGCTCTCTGCAAAGTGATGAGATCCTGGTGCACAGGAGAGAAGAGAATATGGGGTGAAATGTTTCCCACCTACAAAGTGATATGGCCACTGTGATATGATATTTCAAAGTGATATGAAAAAGCTCACCCAATGTGTAGGTTAATTACAAGTCCATACTGAACTGATATTTCTTATACAGGGCTTGCCTTTACTGATTAACTGACAGTCCTGTTGTTACATAATCCGACTGCTGCACCATCATTTGACATGGGCATAGGGACGCTGATCCTTCCTTTTACTGGAACTAGTTCCATGCAGATACTTGTCTACGAAAAAGATACTAAAATTAGTCTTGCATAACTAATCTAAGGAAGAAGGAAAACATGAGGCAGGTCACGAAGCCCTCAGTCAAATCCTGCTTGGGGCCCATTCGCTTGGTGATTGTTTACTGTTCTGACTGCAAAACAACAGTTGTTTCTACTGCAAATAATGTAGGACTCATTGGGAGCAGTTGCTTTGTGAGACTTGGCCCAAGGGAGAGACAAGAACTTTCAGATCTCTCTGGTGTACAGGAAGTGTGCCCAATTGCACCATTCGTTGTGATGGTGCAGCCCTCTTGTACCTTTTGCCTATCCACATCTGCTGACCAGTACTGCGTGAGAGAAATAGTTACTCTGGGTTTTGTACTGCTCTAGCTGACAGACAAACCTGGTCTCGTATTTACAGTATCCATTATCACAATTGCTTCACCACCACATTTTCCAGCCTATATAATGTACCGCACTACTTCCTTAGAGCCACTCAGATGATCGCAAGAGATGAAAAATAATAATGCGTCATAATAACAGATTGTGGACAAAGTTAGTTTTGGTCAGTTGAAATCTGAGCTGAATTTGAATCAGAAATAACCCAGTGTGGGAATCATTGGTATCCATTCATACTCACCTGTATCATGTGACACTTCTTCCTAGAGCCCAAAGCTTTATGGGTGGTGGGTTCTTTATAAAAGGAAGACAGTGCTATGGGTTAATACATTAAAAGCTTCTTTCCTCTAGTTTTGAGATTCCAATCAGTCTTGTGTCACAATCAACATGGGCTAAACCTTAAGGTCCCAACTTAAAGCCATGTCTTAGAGCTATACCAATTTCTACCAACTAAGGATCTGACTTTCAGCTTCTTACTCAGTCCTTTCTCTGGCAAAGATCCTGTTATAGAGGGATTTCTCAGCTCATGTCAGGGGGTGTTTCTGCATGAGTAAACACAGACTAAAACCTGAAGAAAACCATCGGGTTTTGGCCATATGACTGAAGAGATTTTGAGTTAGTTTATCCACAGAGGTTTGAGCACTACGGTCCACACAGGAATGTGCATGATGAAGTATTTCTACAAAACTGCCTTTTAAGCGAGAGGTTTCATCCATCTTTTTTGCAAATACAGATTTCTTAAACAAATTTGAGTTCTGAGAAAGAACTCTAGTTCTGTTTCTGTGACCTGTCTTTCTGGCCTGCATCAGTCACATTCTGTTACATGGCCTGTCAAATCCATTCTGCTGTTAGGTACAACAGTTATCATTTGTTATTCATACAATCTGAGGTTTACAAGGCTAATGAGAATTTCTTGTTGAAGTGGTCTCTTCCCCAAATCCTTATGCTGCCCCATCAATTCAAAATTCATGGTGCAGGCAAGCAACCTGCTGAATTATGGGAGGTGACTGGCTACTGCTCAAACCAATTTGCAGTCATTTTGCAGAATGTTTAATGCGTGTATTTGGAGCTAGTCTTAGGCACATGTGTACCTTATAGGTTTCCATAGAGTGCCTATTTCTGATGGTGTTTTCACTGTTGTATGCATTTTGGTTTTTTCCATTAAAATGATCAAACTCTTCCAAAAAAAGAAGAAGCAAGTTTGCACCAGCCATTTTGCTTTCTTTAATTATGAAAGAGAAGGAAATAAACAGAGAATGCGGGGAGTGTGGTGAGTAGAGAAGTAGAGAGAGAAAAGAAACTGAGGGAGAAAGAAATGGGGGGGCGAGAGAGAGAGTGACAGAGAACATACTGGATAAGGACAGAAAAAAAGAGGGAAGGTCCAGAGAGGAAGGATGGCACAGTGGTTAGAGCATTGGCCTGGGACTTGGGACCCCATGTTTGAAATCCTGTCTCTGTTCTGCTACACTTCCCATGTGACAAGTTACTTAGGCTGTGTCTATAGTTGTAGGTGATTGCAGCTCAAGGAGACAGACTCATGCTCACTCTGATCAAGTTAATGCACTGAAAATAATGTACCCCCAACAGGATGGGCTAGCCACCCTGAGTCCATACCCATCTGAGACCCCCAGCCCTGCACACAGGGTGGCTAGCCTGTTGCACCTCAGCAGCTACACTCTATTTTTAGTGAGCTAGCACAAGTCCATCTCGTCAAGCCGAGAATCACTCACAAGCATAGATGTACCCTTAGTCTCTCTCTGCCTCTGTTCCCCATCTGTGAAATGGGAATAATAGCACTTTCTTACCTCACAAGGGTGTTGTGAGGATAAATACAATACGATTGTGAGGCACTCAAATACTACACTAATGGGGGCCAGATAAGTGCCTTAAATATAGGAAAGAAAAACAGCACAGAAGAAAAGCAGAAGCCTAACTGAAAGCAGTCTTGCAAGCTTGTACTGATATGGTCTTCTAATATGGCATCTCCATTATTGGAGGTTTGCTAGCAGGGTAGTCCATTCTCTACACTCCTTTGTTAATCTCTGTGAACGAATTTTGATCCACCCAAGATACAGTGTCATCCATCCAGGTCTTCTTTTTCTGCCAACTTTCCCTCCCGGTGGCCGTAAACATCTGAACCTCTTAAAATGTGTCCTACAAATTGAATCTTTCTGTTCCTAAGATCTGACTGATACGTTCATTACACATAGCACTACTTTCATTTCTCACTGAATGACAACACCAACAATCCAACCTTTTGGAGCCAGAAAAGGTTAATTCAAACCACAACCAAGGAAGGTAAAGAACAAGACTGGCATTTTCACTGGTAGGAAGATGTCTCTCCTAGGGGAAACAGGAGATTTGACAGGACATATGTGCTTAAATCTTTATCTCTACATTCTGCGCACACACTGCCAAGAGAACAAGATTGGAATTCTGAGGAATTAAAGTATGTTGATCCAGCTTGGTCTAAGTTTTAACTAATTTAAATTACACTACAACTATCCTTTTATGTTGGCTCTGCTCCTCTTTGTCCAATTCAGCCTCCACTGTCAATGTCTCTGTTCTCACTAAAAACAAAGCCTTTCATTTTGAAGCATCCCAAAACACTTTACAATCAATTATCCACTACTAAAATGCAGCCGCTTTTGCAGTGGACCTCAGCAGCTATTTTTGTTGGGAGGCAGCATAGCTTAGTACAGTTTTTCCCAAATTTGTACCAGTACGTCCCTCAGCCCACGCCGCTTCCAGCAGCCCCCATTGGCCTGGAGCAGTGAACCGCGGCCAGTGGGAGCCACAATCGGCTGGACCTGCAGACGCGGCAGGTAAACAAACCGGCCCGGCCTGGCCCGCCAGGGGCTTTCCCTACACAACCGGCATCCCAAGTTTGGGAAACACTGGATTAGTGGATAGGGAATGGCTTGGAGTCAGGTGATCAGGGCTCTATTCACAACACTGTCGATGAATTGATAGATGACTTCAGGCAAGTCATTTCATCTCTCTTCTCCTCGACTTCTTCATTTGTAAAATGGGGATAATGCTACTTAACTTCTGTACTTTTTGAGGCTTATAAATGAAATGTGATAGCCCTTTTAAGTGCCAAGATTCCAAAAGAAGGCAGAGCAGGAAAGTCCCCCACGCTGAGGCAAGTATGCAGACCTGACTTTTTAATGTCGCCCAAGACTCACAGTTACTTAAGTCAACAACTTTAAGAGGAGAATAAACAATACAGGATAAAGGTAAACGTTCTGCACTTAAGAACGTTTCTCCTCCCTTCCCTCAGCTGTGTCACACTCTGTATTATCACTGTCGTCAAAGGGGGTGTGTATAAGAACCTGAAAAACCAAACGAACCTGTCTGTAAGGAGTTCCATATATCACAGCACTGCAAGTGGCTTTACTTCCACAGTGCTGTACGTTGCTGCAGGAAAGCCGCCTCTTTCCCCTTGCTTCTGAGACCTCCTTTTGGACCTAAACATTGCGACGGGAATAAGCACCCATCTGCACGTAAGCTCAGTTTGTTTATTGATGTCAATATTTGTAAAACAGATTTCCAGCTGCCAACGCAGCGTGTGTGCTGTGCTGATTTATCAGTCACCTCCCTGATGCCATTCGTGTTTGGGCTTCAAACCACTTGTTCTGACCAACCCATTTGATTTCAATTTAATAAATTATTGATCGAGACATGCCTGTCTCCTACCCAGCAATTGAACCTCAACAAATACGTTTTAACAAATGACCAATCCAGACCTGTCTCATTAAACCAAAAGGAAATTAAGTGCTTCTTGCAGCCCTGCATCAGCTGGAGCAAAACTAACATTGAAAAGATCTCCTGTTTAAACAAGTGACTGCCCCTTCTCTTTTTTCCTTATGAGTACACGGAAGCAGATATGGCATGTGTTTATAAACAGTACCAGGGGTAATGCTGCAAAATTAATTGACATAACCTAAATCAATAATATTCTATTCGTCTAGAATATTTGAAAATAAATTAGTCCTCCTAGTGACCTTGAGAATAAATATATTTAGCTGTAAAATACACAGTTGTATTCAGACTGATGGTGTAAATCAGGTACCTCTCTAAAATGGGAATTTCTCATTTGTAAATTAGGTTTGTCATCTATTATGGTATATTGCTAAGCCCTTTAGTGGTAGCAACCTTGTCACTATAGCTGCAAGCCAAGTATCAAACTGGAGCTGAAGCTGCCTCAGATCTAGAATTTTGCAGTTTGGAGAAATAAGCTCTGTTCAGACCAAGCCTTACAGATCAGATGTATGTTCAGATCTGAACTTCTCCATAATTTGATGGGTTTGGTTCTGGATCAGGCCCATCTTCACTTCTAACATGGTGGTGTTACCCTAAATGTATCTTTTCAGCCTTGGAAAATCTTCATGAAGAACATCTCAGTCACAGCATGAAATCTGTTCACCCACCATAATGATAATGAGGCTATAAAAACTATAAAAATATTTTACTTGCCTAGCAAAAACTTACTCCAGCGGAAAGGATGATTAGATCCCTTCAAGGCAAATTCATTCCCTTATGTAAGTAGTGACAAATTTCCAAATGTTAGCACTAAAAATATATAGTTTTAAAAAAATCAACTGCAGAATTATGTGCACTACAAAGAGGATGTGTTTCCTCCGCCCCCACTGATTATATGTATTTCTAATAAAAAGTACTTTTAGAAATGGCGTTGAAATTTGCAGGTGGTTTTTGTTTGTTTGTTGTTGTTGTTGTTGTTGTCCTGCCACCTCTTGCCTGTTGACAGAGACAAAGGGTGTAATACTGTCTCTGTTGAAGTCAATGGAAAAATTCCTTTTGACTTCAATAGTGCCCAGATTTCACTCAAAACATTTTCCCATGTGGGAAGCAATAATTCACTCTTGTACAGGAATCAGGCATGAGGTGGTCCCAGACATCTGCATTTTCCAACAGCTTATACGGTATGTTGGATCAATGTGCTTCCATTAACATAGGAGACATCAGAGTTGCTTCTACCTGAAATGGGATGCACTTATTAGTGTATTTTTTGTTTATTTTGCTCATGCTGGTGTATGTTTGCCAATGGCTGCTCCATTTAGAAGCTTAATTATTACAATTATTGCTGTAATACACGTGGTTAAACTGACTACAAAATATAGTGCTGGGGAGGACATATTGTGCATATTAGCAGGGTTAGTGGGGGGGTTTCCCCTTCTATGAGGCATTGAACAGGGATTATCTGTTAATGTGGGATATGCTTACATGGTCCTATCAGTGTTCTATGATGAAGAAGAATTGGGGGCATTTGTGACTTCGTGCTTCCTATTTTCTTCTTCATTCCTCTATGAAGTCTCTATCTTGGTACTAAACTATGCTTCTGTGTGATTGGCACATTGCGCCTAACCTGCCATAACTCCCTGCAATATTAATCCTCCATGATCTGATGCAAATATAGGAGTTTAACTGCTTTGACTGCAGAAGAATTAGGGAAGGATTTTGTGTAATGTTAGATCCTGCATCATCCATGAAGTAATAAACATGTCATTGCTCTGCCCTTCTAACCTATGTCTGAACAAGTGTAGTATAGGGCACCTATTTCTGTGTATGGCAGCCTACTACTGGTGGAGAAAGCACATAACTGACTCCTAGTACTATGGGTCTCATTATTTTTATTTATTATTGAGTGGTGGTTTACCAGCTCTTCTCCTATAAAATCCTGAAATATCTGGATTGCATTAGTACTGTAGTTTAATATTTTATTTTCAATTGTGGTGTTCATTAGCAAAATACATTTGTACATGTAACACTAGCGTCACACTAGGTCCACTAGAAACAATGTGGCAATATAGCAGCTCAAGTGATCCACAGTGTTCGAATGTTCATGTGTTCCATTCACATTAGAACAGTGCATTGGGTCCGCGTTGTTTCTGGAACATGTACACACATTGGACCTGATCTTCAGTATGAAAGAGAATTTTGGGGACATCCTAAATGTTCCCACTCTCCTGGTCTGCTCCCATTCCATCCACATAAAGATTATGGCTCTCTCTCAGTTCCACTAGAGAAAGAAGTAACAGTTTTCAGAACATGCTAAGTAAACAAATCTCCTATTTTACAGGCCTAGATGCTGATGAGATGCTAGAGCGTTACAATCATCTAACCACAGTCATCAATGCCTTGACTCCCACCCCCATTCTGCACAAAGATTACCCTGATTCTAATAAACTATGTCAATTGGAGCAGATGGCCAATACTGCAATACAACTGTCACAGCATGGATCTGGGTCCCTGTGCTTACTGCACACCGCTTGCCATTTTCTTTATTTTATTTTTTATTTTTTGCATTATACTAAATGTTAACCTTTAAGACTATATATGATCATGTTAGCTTACTCAGGTTTCTTTCTGCTAGGAATGACCAGATCTGGAGTTAGTTATGGAAGGCAGAAGAAACTAAAGTTTGAAGAGATAAGAGCCAATTGTGTCAAATCTGTGTCAATTTATTTTGCGCTTGTATATTCACTGCAGCACAACCATGGAGCTATTACTAGACATTGGAACAGTGACAGTCCCAGTCTCTTTCAGATGGAAAAGCAGAACTGAGCCACAATGATTTTCATTCCATTTTGTTGCTTTTTTCCAGACCACTAAAACTGAATCAATTACAATTAAAGTTCACATGGGAGCTCAGGGGTGGGGTCGTCACAAGCCTTACCTACAGAAAACTAGTGTGTGTGTGTGTGTGTGTGTATGTGTGTGTGTATGTGTGTGTGTGTGTGTGTGTGTGTGTTTGCCCATTTGTCCTCTGGAATGGTCCCCTTGAATCCCTCTACTTCACAGACTATGTCTCATTTCAAATCTCATCTGAAAATGTAGTTTTCTCCCTTGCCTAGATCTCTTAATTTCTCTCTCCCTTTATTGTTTCACAATAGAATTGTATTATTTTCAACAATTCCGTAGACCAGTTTGAGATGATAGTGTCACACAGTGAAGTTTTCTATTATTATTAAACAAGTTTCTGCTTGAATTCCAGCTGTGACCATGCTCGAGAAACAAACTGAACACCAGTTTGTGATTGATTTTCAGATACTGCACATTGTCCATAAACCATGGACTGTCTGATGTCTGCACTTGTATCTGATTTACACTGTAAGCGCCTCAGGTCCAGGACTATGTTTTGACAATTTGTTTGTCAAGGGACGATAAATGAAAAAATGATCTCAGTAACTAATGATATTAACCCTGACCATATGTCTGTGTACTGTACTATAGGTCTGTTCTTCCCTTGACTTTTACACATGTGCCGCCTGTCACACACAAGAATCTATGGGAAAACTTCATACCACCCGCATCCATGTATAGTCATAAATCTGCTTGCAGATCCTTTTAAACCGATAATGTTCTTGTTGAGCTCAGTAACCCCTTCACTGCTGCCCCTGAAATTTTCAAGAGCTCAACCATTCACTTCAATGGAACTTTAAGTGGATGTAGCATAGACCCAAGAGTACTTTTCACAGACACATGACATTCCACATTAAAGCAGTTATGGATGTGCCCTTATAACTTAGGTCCTTGATATTTTCTTGCCATGCTTTGACTATTAACTTAATATTTTAGGGGGATGTTGGACTCAGTCACTCACAGCACCTTTCTGCCAAACACAATGATCTGCGAGCCCCTGATGTCTTGGACAGAATTGTTTGGGACAACTGAGGACTATTATCCCACCTTTGATCATCAGACAGGTGTGTACATAGGCTCAGTTTGAAAAGACGTGTTCAATTAATATGTGCCCCAAACTGGACTGAATTTAACAGTGTTACAATTGGCTCTGATGGGTAATGGCCTGTGCATGTTGTGCTCACTGCTGAGCCTATTGTCACATTTATTTCTAATTCAAGCATTACTGCTTTGTTCAGGCACACAAGCTGACTGTGTGCAAGACAGGTATATGAATAGCAACAATAATAGTCTGCACTTCTATAGTACCTTTCAGCTAAGAATCATATATCTACAAGAGACTTGTGTTGCTTACGTCACTATAATGTATGGAGCCCTCACAAACATTTAGTGGATTCCTCATCACAACATCCCTGTGGAAAAGGGAAGCATTCTCCCCATTTTGCAGATGGAAAAGTGAGTCAGAGAAATCAAGTGATTTACTCAAGGTCACCCAGCAAGTCCGTGGCAGACCCAGGAATTGAACCTAGATCTCCTGAATCTCACCCCAGTGACCCCAAAAGAATTCCAGTGCTTTTCAGCTATCAATTAATCAAGTTTCTCAGTTAGGCATTATCATCTTCATTTTGCAAGAAGGCAAACTGAGACTCACAACATTTCAGTGGTAGTGCCCCTAGGTTACAGAGGGAGTCAAAAGCAGAGTCAGGAATAGATCCTTGTATGCCTGGGTATCTTTTGTTCTGTCCACTTGAAACACAGCACTTGTTTTGAAGTCCCTTTGCCTATCAATGAATGTTATCCGTACTGTGGAATAGTAATTTAGTTTGATGGAGTGACCTCTCTTTGAATTTTCTGCAGCTTTGTATAAATTTATTATCCATAGTAGCAATGACCAGTTAAATACATAGTTAACGTGTAAGATTTGGGATTTTAAAAACCAGCACAGATCTCGGTGGATTGTAGTAATACATCAGTATTAACTCAATAATGCCCCCACTGGACTAGTTGCTGATTACTCCTGAATGTTTAGTGTACAGTTTCCCCCCACTGTGCTTATGGAAATCCTACACTTCGCCTGGCCATAAGACCCATCTGGGGAGTATAGTTAGTTTTAAGGAATTCACGCCCAATCCCCCGTGCTTTCAGGCCAGATCCCTGCTATAGAGGGTCAGTTAGCATTTCCCATTAGAAATTCTTTTCCTTCCATAAGAGTTTGATTCAGTTCCTAAATGGCTGGAATTTTTTTTTCCTCTCCTCCCTCAGACTAAATCATTCAATAGGCTCTAAAAATACAGCATAATCTCACTGATGTGACTGAGCCAAGCTTGTGGTGAAACTTGGATCTGTCTCAGGTTTTCATGCAATATTTTTCTCCCATAAAACTATTTTTATGCCTTCAAATTACAAAGCTGGTGTTCTTACAGAACAGACCTTGTCCCCTCATGAGACATTTTAAGTATTGGAGAACAGCACTTTTCAAAGAGCTTAAACCATAACAAGTTTATGATCATCATAGACTTCATGCTTGTTTCTGTGGTGCAAACCTTGGCCATTCAAAATTTTCCATGTGATTAGAAATAGAATCTGCTCCAAAGGGGCACAGGTCCCTAATGCTTCAGCTAAAGAAGAATCTCAAGTGCTATGCAGTTCTTGTTTGTGGGAAATGCTCTGATTTTGAAATTTGTTTCCATTCTGAATCAAAGCAAAAACAAAGAATTTCTAAGTTTCCTGTGAAACAAAATCTTGGGGGGCAAGGCGGGGGAGAATTATTTCAGGTAAATCAATGTTTTGTTTCAGCTTTGACTTTTTTAATTTTATATTATACATTTCAACCTTATCAAGATATCTTTCAGTTTTTTTCTAAACAAAATTAGGAATGTGTCATTTTCAATGAATCCGCATTTCCCAATGGAAAATCATTCCATTGGAAAATTTTCTACCAGCTCTGAGCATCTTCATTAGCTGTTAGCAGTATACTGCCTCTGACATGTAGTTGTGCAGTTCTGACTCCATCTAGTTAAAGGTCAGTATTGCACATAGATATTGCAAGGACATTAGACTGTCTTCTTTAAAGTAATTGAAATGTTTCATAAGCTTACATCATTACCACTGTGTTGTGATTCTACCTGAGATTGCATACTAAGATGGGTTGGGCTGGGTATGTACGTGGCCTTCATTTGACCCTGTCTGCAGCTGCATCTCCCCTTCAACCTTTTCCCCCCAGGATTGCTCAATGTTGGATGCTCCTACACATTTCTAGCATCCTTTAGGGCTGCAATAACTTCTCCCATGAGCTGATTTAAAACATTCCTATAGAACCCACTACATTGTTTTCACTTTTTTTCCCCCCAGTAGCCCAGGAATAAATTTCACACATATTTATATTATATCAGTCCTAGCAATGCTATACAAGGAGACATAGGATAGAAAAGGAAGACAAATACTTCATTGATTTGAAGCACAAGAGGCATTTAGGCCAACAGAATAAGGTTTTCCCCAGGCTGTTATCTGGCCAAGATAAGAGTCAAGATACCTACACTTTTTGGAAAAAAGTACTATAGGACTTTGAATGCGCAAGTGTGAAGTGAGTTCCTCCTCACATAAAATAGTGGAGAAGACTTGACAGAGCTGCCTATAATGAGACAGGCAGAATTTCTGAGATGACTGAGTGCAAAGTGTAGCTCTGGTCTCACTCCTGTCTACATCACAGTTAGAACAATGCTAGGAATAAAACACCTGTATTTAAACAGAATTATGTCTTGTAAGATTTTCGTTCACTTTCTCTTACAGTGTGGAACTGGTCTATGGAAAAGGGCTATAGAATTGATCTACTGTACAGACAAACCTTATATATAACCAGGCTTTGCTACATGTGGATACAGCTGGCATGGTTCATGTCAATACAGCAGCATTTTTCTCTGCACTAACATGTATATCTTGTTGGTTTGTCAGTACAGCTGTGCATGAACCAGTGCATTCTGGGAAAATCTGGACAGGTATCCCATACTGCCTTGAGTACAAAGCTGGGTTATAGAAGTCCTTGGTAAAAATCCCTGCACCTGCTTGAGTCCTATCTACACTAAAGCTTTGATCCTTGTTACCATGGATAGAGCTTCTTCCTTTGGAAATCGTGAGGCTTTTTGCCATTGTACATGCAGCCTTAGAGGTGGGACATGAATCCAAACTCTGATTTCAAATAACTTTTCTAGATTGCAAGGGGTAAATCCACAGAATTTAATCCCCCCTGGGTTGGAATGTAACGAGCACACCAGGATTAAAATACTCAATCTGGCTAAAAAGTGCCATGGGATAGTTAATGTAACCTAAATCCAACCTTGAGGCAAGTAACACTCCACAACTTTGGAAAGGTCCAATTCATGGTTTGAACTCTGTGGCTCCCACTTATCTCTGCTTTCAACTTTCCCTCTCCCCTAGAGACCTGTAGTCATAGATGCTGAAACTAGGAGGGGTGCAGCACCCCTTGACTTGAAGGGGTTTCCATTATATACAGGGTTTACAGTTTGGTTCAATGGTTCTCAGCACCTCCACTATAAAAATTGTTCCAGCTCCCCTCTAGTTCTAGGCACAAAAGCTGAAACAAAACATTGATTTACCTGAAATGTTCCTGTGCTGGCTGCTGAGTGATTTATTTGCTCCCCACCTTATCTCACCTGGATAGTTTTCACTTAGAATTTCACTACACAGCAAGGAAAACATATCTGGTCCTTTCCCTCCCACTCAAAGGAAACTTGTACATTTCCTGTAGAAGCTCTGTCCTATGCTGATCTTTCTTCCAGAAGAGTATTCCAAATTGCATAATCTTTTGGTACAGTGCATACCCCAACAGAAGAGAGAGCTACTCAGGAAGCTAAACTTCAGTGTAAGGCGTAAAGGAAGAGCACTTTTGAAAATGCCAGACCTTCATGTCAGCACCTTCTGAGTGCCCGTGACAGATGTCAGCACTTTTGGGGGCCTTAGAATATTTTCTGACTTCCAAAAAGAATCCAATCTTTTTAGAAGCCAATAGAGAAGCTAATCCTGACAAGAACTGTACCATGAAAGGAGCATGCTATGGCCTTTATATTGCCAGCAAAGCTGATATTTATCACAGTCAAGTCAAATAAAAATTTCAGGACCAGTTGCTTAAGTATTTCAAAGTTACTTACTGTACTTTTTAACTGTAGAGGAACAGTTGCTTTTATCTCATGTTACCCTAAGGGAATTAAAAATAGATACACCAAAGGAGCAAACTTCATTTAACTCTTCAACACATCAGAAGGAAGTTGTGGCCTTGACCCTCACCCCATCTCCTACATAAGCAGAAAAAAATCCAAACAGTTCATGAGTCCCAAAGGTGCAAACAAGACAACACCAAAAATATAGGGCTGGATTCATGCCTTGGTGCCTCCATCTGATTTGGGAGTAAGGTAGGCTACCCTGTTGCAATTCTGCCAACAGGCCTGGAGCCAGCCCTCACAGTCCCCCACACTGTTTCTATACCTCTTCTGGCTAGCCTCCAGAGCAGGGGTCTCAAACACGCGGCCCGGGGGCCGCATG